ATGTGATTTTTATAGGTTCGATGCGAACAAAAAGACATCGGTCACAACATGGAAGACAATCATAAGAAAGAAAATCAATCATTAATCAACGAAAACAAGATTTATTTCGAAAAGGATAATTTAGTTTTCACGTTGAAACAAGTAAATTCGTTTCAAATTATATATATATATTTTCTAAATCAATAATTTCTTTACATATTTATAATCTATTTTTATTTTATTTTGTAGACAATAAATGAATTAGAACAAGAGAAGGATCAGTTACAACAGAAACTGAATCAGTTGCAAGTTCAGGAGAAGAAATCAAACGAGAAAATTAACCAGAAAGAACAAGAAATCATCACGCTTCAACAGAAAAATTCCATCTTATTAGAAAGTTATCGAAAAGAAATGGTGATTATTTATTACAATTAGATTCACATTTCGTGCGTGACCATTGTTTTCATAAATAAATATTGATTTTATAGTGACTTTTTAAAGAGAAAATGATCAGTAAAATTTAAATTTAAACGAAAATCTTTAACAGAATATCTCCTTTGCACCAATAATTCACTTAACCAAATCTTTCCAAAAAAAAAAATCNAGAAGTTGTTCGGCTGCTCGTCCGCGATGACGAGTTGGCGATGACGTTTTACCGCGTTTTACCCGTCCCTTTTAGCGTCTTTATACGAATATTGTCGCAGTTTTTTCGCCGCGTTATAGGAATCTACGTTATAGGAACTCGCGTTATAGGGGTCTACTGTATATATAAAATTGTAAATGCTAATAATGAGTAAAATCGTCATTAAATCCAACTCTACTGGAGATATGACACACGACCTCTCCTCTATCTGCCAACTCCCTCGACCTTTAAAATATCAATTCTGAAATCCTCCGAACGCCAGGATCGCGATTGCACTCCCAACAAATGCCGTATATTTCCTAATTTTTGATTCTCTAAGAGGGTTTTTAAGTAAGCCCATTATGCTTTCACCCAGACCCATAACGGAGCGGCCGAGTGGTGACGGACGGGACCCTACATAATCAGGATGGATCACCCTCAAAAAATCTCTGAGGTTTTTCGACCCGTTCTGATAAAATCTCGGGTTCTCAGAGCAGCCATCTGACCATCAGATGCTGTGTACTAGTGTATCACACATTACAAATTCAACAAATCAACGTTATTTCTAATCTTAACTGCACCCATGCCTGCTCGAACAGTTTTGTCAGTTGATGCACATTTCGCAATTATGCCACACGTTCCAGCATATCCCAAACATGTTCAATAGGGTTGCAGTCCGTGAGTATGGGGACAGTGTATGGAATTCGCTGTTGTGTTCCTCCAATCGTGCGTTTTGTTGAAATATGGCATCGTTGTCAGGAAACATATCTGCGCTTGTGCTCTATGCTAATAAGTCCCTATATCGTTCATTATTAAAGGATTTTGGAATGACGATTAATGGATTTAGGCTTAGCTAAGAGAACACTTTCTAAACTAATATACCGCCATCATGTACACAATTGGATGCGGCTATATGCTGTTTACTCCAGATTCGGTTATGCTGAAACGGAACTCATCATTCCAGATTACCATGTCCGAGGACCAATGACGCACATGGGAGGCGTTGTTTGCGATGAGGCGTGGGCAACAGATGCGCTCCTGCAGATCGACATCTATTGAGCCCCAGTCGACACAAAGTACGTCTCATGATCGTTGTCGAAACACGTCTGACTTGTCCACTATCGTGATGGCCGGTAAACTGTTCCACTGTGACACGTGTTTGTTCAGATATTAATCTTGACACGCGACTCTCACCTCTGGGATCAATCATACGTTGCAGGCCTGGCTGTGTGATATGATGGATGTTTCTACACGATTCATCCAGTCGTGGTACGCGCTGGACACCGTGGTACGATAACAACCGACGGGTGCAATTGCAGCTGTTTCGGAAATATTAGAACTTATCCTCCGAGCCCCAACGATCTGTCCGCGCTCAAAGTCACTCAAGTTGCCCCGTTTTTCCATGAATGGCACGTATTGTTTTCTACTATGCGAATGACAGATCAACACGTCACGACTGGAGCGAATTGTGATGTGACAATTACAGGACATCCCTTAATTAGGAACACCATGGCAGCACCATCTTGGTAATGGTAAACTCCCGAGTTGGTGCTAGCGTGGTGTTCCTAATGCAGTGATCGTTAGCGTTTAATAATACGTTTTGGCGAGACCATTCACTGAACGAGTTAGTGACATTCTGACAACCCATGTCAGAAGCCCCAAAAATTTTTATGGGTGATCTGTTTGGGATATGATGTCTCGTCCGGCCGTCCTCTTGATGCATTTGGAAGAAAGGTCCTCTTACTTTTCACAGGAAGGAGTTAATAGTTAAAGAACTTTTAAAAATAAACCTAAAAATTGTAACATATGCAAAACATGTAACGTGTGAACGTAAAAAAATGTATATAACGTATGCATTGTATTTTTCATGTATACATAGTCCACGGTTCTTCGTACTTTGGTTTGTCCACCAGTACCGAATGGATAATACCACTGGGTTTGCGCCTCAACAACGGTCTAACCGTATGAAGTTTTCCAGATTTTCACGTGTCTAACTCGTGAATAGAAACCACTTTCTCCTAAAAGTCCTCCGGGGAGACATTTTTGGCAGATTGCCTATGAGTTGCGCTGTCCCATCAAACCAAATCCGTACTTTGGTTTACATTCAAATTAAAAAAAAAAAATGAGTTTTCTCCCGAACCGAACCATCTCAAACTCAAGGATTGATGTGTTTTAGTGTCTCGCTCATCCCGCCTCCAATATAAAATATTACAAGCGATATAACATGAAATAAATTCATACATGTATATGGCAAATAAGTATAGAGTCTTCAGTTGAACGACTTGGTTTTACATCCACCAAAGAAGACACCAAAAAAAACAGCAAAATGTTCCACTTGACCGTAAACTATTTGATCCAATTGGTAATGGCTTGGCTGCACGACTTGATCAAAAAGGAAGAGCAGTCTTATTTTTATCTATTAAAATTTTATTTCGATTATTGAACCTTCTTACAGAACTTTATACCACTATTATTAACTTTTTCTGATTTCCAATTACTAGTTTAAAAATACCTCACTCCTTAAAAAAAATAACTGAAAAATAGGTTAAGATATAAAAGGGAAAAGAAATTTTTATCGAGAAAATGCGTTTTATGTACACAAATTTATAAAAAGTATTATAAAGTTAAAAGGTTAATAATTTATTAAATTTTTAAAACTTGATCAAGAGTAACAAAGTATAACAAGAGTAATAATATCGAAATAAATTAATAACACGACAAACTTAAATAAAAATGAGGCTAAGTTGATGTATTAAAGTATAAATAGAACTATAATTAATATGTGTTTAACTTTAGTGTTAGTTTCTGTCACTTAATTCCAGATTGAAACAGACAATTGTTACCAGAAATGGATTCTTCAAAGGACTCAATGGTCACTACTCTTCAATTCCAACCCGAAACGGGTGGATAACAATAGAAATAAAGTTAAACTGATCGATCCTTATATTAAAATATACTTTAATAGATCGACCTAGCTTCATTTTATTTTTATTTAATTAAAAACAGTCGCCCTTTCGACTAGATACTACGCCAATACAACGCAAACTGAGATCACAATCGAGTAAAGAATAGCGTATAATTTTGAATCAAAATGGGTGTGACGTTCAACGAGACGTTACACCCCAATCATTCTGGAACCAGGAAAAAAAAACACTAAATATTTGGCTAGTAAATAAATATAATATCGGAGATAAATTTAGAAAATTCTTAAAATAAAATCATTCTAAAATAATGTAAATTAATTGTTTTAACGATTGTATCAAATGAGGAAAGTGCATATATTATACACCTCGTTATAAAGTTCTCAAAAAGATTAACACAATAAATACAATATATATATATATATATATATATATCTTCTGTTTTGTTTTTCAGAAGTGTGACAATGGTTACAGAAGTTTATTTTATTACAGAAATCCGTCCAACTGGCCTTGTAGATAATTCTTTTTTTAGAAGGTTTTTTTTTTTTAAATAAAATTGACGACGCACTATTTAGCATCACCTGTACCGGTCGCTTCTACTATACGAAACACGCCCGAAACACCAGAATACATTTTATGACCTCACCAGACGAATGACCAAGTCGTAAATACTATTTCCAATCCACTGCTCGCAGCCATTTTTAGCCAATGATATTGATAATGGATTAATAGTGTTAGTTATTTTTGTAATCAGAGTATCTAAATAGCTTAAACACGAAAAAAGTTTTAACTAAGAAAATAATTCTTAATTTTATCCAGGCTCGAATTTCCCCCCCCACACCAAAAAGAGGAAAATAGGCACGAGGATTAGATACTTTATAAATAAATTTATATACATTATTATTATTATACTAAGCAAGAAGAAGAAGTATAAGAAAGGTTTTATAATTTCGTAGAAAATTTAGAAAAAAAAATATATTAATAAATTAACTCGATAATTTATGTGTTATAAAAACGATTAAGCTTAACAATTATCATATAGATAAATGTGAGATTCATGTATGACGAATGGAGAAAATGTCATAAATACTTGTTATGCCCGAAGCCATTCCGCTTCTTATAACTACAGAATGATATCAATCAGAAAACGGGTGGTATCTTAATGGACAGAACATCTTCGACGATATGAATCAGAAATTATCATCAATTCTGGATAACATCTGAATTACCAAATATATATTCGAATCGTGCACGTTCCACAATGGAAATGCTTCTTAATTTTTCCAACATTTCGTGACGTATCGAGTTCTATAAGTTTCTTAATGTTTATACGTTAGATGTAGCTGATAGAGTGAGAGAAGGGGGGAAACGGCGGCAAGTTTGTGGTGTTAATACTACTGTTTCCCAATCCGTTCCTGTTAAGGCACGCTTGGATGAATACGTCGCTTTGTCACACTACCTAGTGTGATGTGCCCGGATTCTTTGCTTCGTGACGATTCAAACTGCACAGTCCGATTAACAGCTGCACATTCAAAGTAAGTCTTTGTCGTTTTCTTTTCAAAGTTTACAGTTACAATCGAAACTTGTTAAAGATGCAAATTCTCTATCTAAATTTTCGTACTTACTCGCTGTTTAAAAAAAAAACAAGAACGTAATATTAAGCGCATTATCTTTAAAGATGTCAAAAATAGATTACGCAGGAAACTGGTTTCTCGCTTTTCTATTATTATCTTACTTACCCCATCGATAATTAATATAGATATATCTCAATTTCGATACGTCTATAACCTATGATATTTAATTAATAAGCGCGAGGTAGAGAAAGAACGATTTACGTAGAAAATTCCTTGGGATACACTTAAAATAAAAAGAAAAAAATATATATATATGTATTTTCCAGTGAGCCAGTAGGGCGAAAAAAAAAAGGGCTCAGTTCTATGAACTGATTTTACAAGAATGCACCTGTTCTAGTACTCCAGAAAGAAGTTATGCTGCAGGTGTTAATGCTCTAATGAAAGGTTTGTCTTGCAGATGTTATTGCACCTCATTACTTTCGTGTTTGATCCTTAGTACGAACGTTTGACAATTTTATTGTTGAAAACATTTTATAGAGAGGTTTGATGTGAATAAACCCTAATTTTTCTTTGTTTAATTACAATCGCATGTTGAGCGAAACGAGCCACAACTAAAAATTTTCGCCCTCGTAGGAACAACACACAAGAGAGAATCTCTATTGTCTAAGTGGGTTCTTTTCTAACCCCCTTTTTTTATTCCACAGTTTGTGTTTTAAATGCAAATAAATTTCGATGCTACTGAAAGAATTATTGTTCGATTTGGATAAACAAAGGATGTTATTTTTATTTAAATCCGCCTTCGACAGCCGTGTTTTTCGTTTGTTCAAAACGGTGTGATAGGTGGAGCGTGTAGTTTGACAGGAAGCGTTCATCAAGCTGCGGAAATCGGTTTGAACTTGCAACGTTATAGAAAATACTAAATACAGGAATTTTTCCATCTATAACCAAAAGTGTTTCTAACTTCCTGCAAAACCGTGTTGAGCCAGCTTGTGTTATGGAATTTATCAAGAAATTAACCACCTCCTCATATACAGGCAATAACCGTACTCTAAAATAGATAAATAGGTAGGAATTTTTTCACTTTATTCGCTAAAATTCCTATATTTTATTATCATTGTAAAGTTATAACCATATAAAGTTATTCTTAAAAAATTAAGAATTGTTTTTTTTTTTTCTAATTTTTGGCCATAATAATCTGTAAGTACTCCATTTATGATTGATAAAATTTTAAACTTTTTTGCTTTAAAATTCATAATGCTTCCTCTACCCCGGGGGTGATCATTGACGAACCTATTTAGATTTAAATAATCCGGATGCGTTTTAATGGAATATGTTGCAAAAAAAAATACTTGTTAATGATGCCAACAAGTAAGAAATATTAATTAATATCGCTTGTAGATGAAGTAAATCATGATTTTAAGCCCACAAAATTAAAAAAAAATGAAGTTCTGGTTGTAGATGTACTATGCGCTACTTAACAGTTACGATCCACGTTTATCTTAATTTTTGTGAATGCGTAATTATGCGTAATTAAATGCAGTTCTACTTGACTCAACAAGAATCCTGTTATGATTTTTAATGCTATTTAAATTATTATTATAATTACTCGTTAGTATGATAATGAATTGATTTATGATGATTGATTACTACAGATTTATGGCAACGTCGTTGATGATGGCTGGGATCATCCGATCCCAACCTAAAGACTTGAAGAAGAAAAGCGTAAGATTCGCTTTACCAGAGAATTTCTTATGTCTGAAGGATTACAATGGAGAGAATGGAAATAGGAATGATGATCGAAATTTCTGGTTGTCACCCATCAGTGGAGCTTATTACGATTGGTTGCAGAGGAATAGTGGAAAATCGTTCCCTTCTCATCATCCCGATCCCAATATAGATATTGTAAACAAGGTAAGATTTTCGTTGATTCGTTGGGAATTTCGGAATTTCCTAATTAGGCAAAGAGTTCCAGTCGGTTTGAATCGTCTCCATTCTTTGTTTTTACTTATGCGGTATTCATGGGAAGGTCAATTCCTAAGAAAAAAAAGAGAACGATCAGCGGTGCGTAATTGCATGCATTGATGATGGTTGGTTTTACTGTATTTTTTATTTTTTTTAAATCTTAAGATATAAAACTACTTGACTTTTGGTAGCATTTTTCTCAAAAATATCGACAAATTCCCGAGTGACAAAGATCAAAATGATTAGAAAATATTAAGAAAATCCACATTTTCTTGCCTAGAATATGTTTCGTAATAAATAAACGGAAATATTCATAATTATCTCTTTGTTCAGAGTATAAATTTACGATTTAAACAAAGAAACAATTAGAAAAAATAATATTCCTATTCGGATAAGTAGATATGAATCAGTAAATGAATCATGTTCATTGAATATAATTACTTCGTCAGATTTTAATAATGTTGTTCGGTGTCAGGTACATAAATTGACAAGAGTTTATGTTGTTAAACAAGCGATTATCTCAGTGTCGTTTCGTTTTTTAATATTTCATTAATGAAAATGAGTTGTTGGTAGGTTCAAGTTTCGTTTTTAGAAAAGAAAATAAGTATTTAAAGTATTTAATTGCAGCGATACTTCATTAATAAGAGAATATTTTTACTAACCGTATCTAAAGTGCGTTACGTTACTTAACATAAAAATAACAGGAAAATTTATTAATCCCCGTCTCTCTTATGTTAAACACGAATACTTCTCAAAATTAGAAATGAAAACAATATTTTAAATAAGTTTACATCCGTTTATCCGCACGTTTCCACTCAACTCTTAAGGGTATAATTTATAATTATTTGTTTATAATTATTGTCAACCTTGCGTGTCTCGGACCTTCTTAACGCACGAATTATTCGCTAAGATCTTTCTTAGTTTATATACAGCGATTGACTAAATAAAAAAAAAAGCACGTATTTATAATTGGAAAGTGTTGTTAATTTGAATATTATTTTTAAGGGTGATTTTTATAACGAAGATTATCTTCAATTACCCGGTTCGCCGACTGAATCCATGCAAGAAATTGGTTCATTAGCATCGGATGCAACCTTTACAGTTTCGTCGACTCAAAAATGTTCGCAGTGCTACAAATTAGAAGAAAATATCAACACTTTAACCAAAGAAAAGGAGGAATTAACTGTTAAGTTAAAGAAGGGCGAAGAAGAAATTAAGTATTTAAGAAACGTAAGATTGATTTTAAACGTTTATTATCTTCCTACATCGTTTTTAAGTAATGTTAACTGAATATAAATTACGCTTACAGAATGTGCGAAAACTGGAGGAGAGTCATAAAGAGATAGAGAATACAAACAAAGCTACGTTGCAAAGAGTCAAGTTTTTAGAGAATAATTTATCACAAGGTCAAGCGGAACAAGCTCAACTTCAAGTAAAATTAGCGGAGTCCAGAGCAAAACTTTGCATGTTGTTGAGTGGTAAAGAATGCGGACCACACAAAAGATCGAAATCTTTAGAACAGAAGGAGTTAGAAGTGGAGGAAACCAAAGCTCAGATGGATCTGTTAAGGAGCGAAGTGGAAAGATTAACCATCAGTTCCTCCAGAGTCGACGTTCTATCTTCTACCATTCAAGTTTACAAGGATAGAATAGCGCAATTACAAGTAGAATCCTTATATATTTTTTAAAAATTCTATCGATAATATAATTTATTATAATTATCTTAATTGATAAAGAATATATATTTTTAATGTAGAAGTACGTAGAAACGAATATGAAAAAGAAAAGAGTGGATATTGCCATTCAAGTAGGATGTAAGAGAATGATTAATCGATTTTCTAAAGACAAAACTCGAATTCCTTTTTTGGTAAGTTTCCGTTTAAATATCTCGAAAAATATAGAAAATTAATTGAAAATGTGATTTTTATAGGTTCGATGCGAACAAAAAGACATCGGTCACAACATGGAAGACAATCATAAGAAAGAAAATCAATCATTAATCAACGAAAACAAGATTTATTTCGAAAAGGATAATTTAGTTTTCACGTTGAAACAAGTAAATTCGTTTCAAATTATATATATATATTTTCTAAATCAATAATTTCTTTACATATTTATAATCTATTTTTATTTTATTTTGTAGACAATAAATGAATTAGAACAAGAGAAGGATCAGTTACAACAGAAACTGAATCAGTTGCAAGTTCAGGAGAAGAAATCAAACGAGAAAATTAACCAGAAAGAACAAGAAATCATCACGCTTCAACAGAAAAATTCCATCTTATTAGAAAGTTATCGAAAAGAAATGGTGATTATTTATTACAATTAGATTCACATTTCGTGCGTGACCATTGTTTTCATATATAAATATTGATTTTATAGTGACTTTTTAAAGAGAAAATGATCAGTAAAATTTAAATTTAAACGAAAATCTTTAACAGAATATCTCCTTTGCACCAATAATTCACTTAACCAAATCTTTCCAAAAAAAAAAAAAAAATCCATATATTTGCATATAATTACTCATTCGTTTCACTTTTCTCTATAACCATGACAAATTTTAGTTTTAATTTCGCCTGACCTCAGAAAAATATTTAGAAAAAAAAAGTTACAATGTAAATTCTGTTTTTCTAATTACAAACAGAAGAAAAATATCAATTGCGAGCAGTGAGACGAGGCCCCAAGAAGGCGAGGCCTCCTCCATGGCTGGGTATATCTATGCGTTAATACGCTCTTACAGGACCCGAGAGAGATAAAATGATGCTCGGGCCTTATTTATTAAGCAAGCCATAATAATAATAATAATATTATATAGTGTTGANAAGAAAGTTATGTTAAAGTGCCACTTTTGCTGCTGACTTGTGAAAACTCACGGCATAATTAGCTCCCAGGTGTGAAAGTTGACAGTTATTTATGATTTAATTGATAATATTTTTATGTCATTAACTTTATTTAAAAGTTGTTACAATTTTTAAAACAATTAAAAAAAAAAAAAAGTTAACAGAAGGCAGAATCGAACCTAGATCGTCCGCGTGGCAAGAGAGTTCGCTACAGGCTCAGCCATTTCTCTGTGCTGCCATAGTGTGAAATCGATCGGTATATGAGCTGCGCTTATAAAACTTTAGAGCCTTTTTTCTCAGAATCTTGTTGCTAGTGCGCTTTACAATTCTTCTGGTCTTCTGGGTGGACACCCTTGAGGTATACTACTAACCTGCAAAGTCTCATCCCGAACTGAATTTCTGAGACCGTAAGGTCCCCTTGTCAGTAAATATAAATCACCTGATTATTATTAATAATACGTAAGTGAAATAAAATATGAAAAAGATGAGGATGGAAAACTCTGAAGAGTTTTGATTTCTCAGTAAACGTTTTTTGACTTTTGCGATAGATATGAAGAAAGAAACGTGGAAAATTGCAATAATAATTTGCTTTTACGTACCTCCCCCATTAACTGTAACTGTTGTATTAATTCTTTCATATGTTCCTCTCCTGCTAGAGGATTTATCTGAAGGTGCACCATATCGATGAACTGCTGCCAGGACAGAACCGGGAAAGCTGACGACGATTTTCTCCAAACAGGCAGATGTGATATCATAGAACCCAAGAATCCGGTATGTTTAGGGAGACCCTGAGAAAAATGAATTTTAAACATTTTGTTTCGGTTAAATTGTAAATTTGCGAGATAATCCGGCTCACCTGTATTATTTTACTTTTATTACTGCTCATGTACTGTTTTAGCGCTTTCATGGAAGGAGAACTAACTATATGAGCGTCCATAACAAAGACGGTATCGTGTAAATCAAATACGTGCTGGAATTTTTGTTGAGCTACTTGCAAGATGGAGGTAGCTTCGCTGCTAACATATTCCCCGGTAGAAGGATGTTTATGGCAACCCGCTAAATCGGCGTGAGTTGCAATCAAAACGACTTTGGCGGGTCGGTTACTCTTACCACAAGGACCTAAAATCCGATTTGATTAGACCAAGCTAAAAGAAGTCTGAATGTATATTTTGCAATTACTTACCTAAAGGTTCGATGGGTGGTATTCTTGCTTGTAAAAAAGCTAACCAGAATAGAACCTGCTGTAGTTGAACTTCGTAGGGATCGTTAAGTTTGAAGACGATGGCGTGAATACAATTAGTGTTTCCTATGAAATGATCGTAGATCATGTGATAAGGTTCGTGACCGGAAAACTCCCAGAGACTTATTTCTCCCACACCTATCATAAAAACAAATTCAATCTAAATTGATGATCATGAAACAGTAATGAAGTTAATATTGCAATCCGAATCATATTTACCGGAAATATTTGTTTGTTGAACATCTATTCCTTGCGTGTAACATTCTAGATTAGTTTTGAAAGTCAAGACATCTTCCGAATCTGAACTGTTCAGTTCTATACTAGATTTACTGGCGTGATCACCTGTCAATCATAAAATTATTCGATTTTGTTCTGGAATTTAAGACTTAATTAAAAAATTTACACTTTACCTCTTTTACTCCTGGTGGTTACAGGAGAGAGAGACGACGTCGAAGGAGATTTGGAACGTTTAAACCAACTGCTAAAATATCCACATTTTAGCGATTCTAAAATAACTGTTTTTCCCACTCCGCTCTGGCCAAACACCTTCAACTTTATTCTGGACAAAGGTTGCGATGTGGGTATTAACTGGGATATGTATTCTTCTCGTAGTTGCTCCTAGGATGTAATTAGCATTAATTCGAATGGTTTGAAATTATTACATATAAATCATCATATATAATTTGTTATATATACATTTCTCAACCGATTGAGAAGATCTCCTATGTCGCTGTATCCCTGAGCTAGAGCAGTTATTTCGGCGGGAATTCCGTCCTGAAATTTTAAATAATATTCCATGTATTAATTCAAACAAATTAAGTGAAATCTTAAATAATATATATGAAATATATAAATAAAAATTCATCAAATACTTACTCTGTTTTTTTGATCTACATTACAGCCGGCTAAACATAGGCATCGTACAACTTCTGTATGGCCATTTTTTGCAGCTAAATGCAACGGATACAATCCCACCTAATAATACATAAATTTGTTAACGAAACATCGCTAATAAAAATTAAATTGAATTTCATTAACTTAAATTACCTTATTTGGCACATCAACTTTACACCCGAAAGCGCATAAAGTTTGAGCGAGCTGCAGTAATCCTTCCCTAGAAACAATATGTATAGGAGCTTCTCCGTGCTAAATAAAAATGAAATACTTTTTTTAAAGTCTCAGGATAATAGTTTAATTAACATAAATTTTAATTCTACTACGTCTTTAAATTTCTTACATTATCTATAACATCTATTTGACATCCGGAATGTAAGAGTAACATGGCGACTTGAATGTGATGCCGTCTCATCGCTAAGTGGAGAGCAGTACATCCGTGCTATTAATCATTAAAAAAAAAAACAATATATATATATACACACACACACATGCTGTAGAGGTAACTGGATAACTTAATAAAAATAAAAAACTCAAACAGTAACTTTTGTGTAAGATTTATGACTATAGAACATAAATTTAATTTAGTAAATTATATAGTATAATACACATACTTTATCGAGTAAATCGGGATCAGCTCCGGCTTCCAACAAACATTTGACACTTTCGGTGTGACCCCTGGCTGCAGCACAGTGCAAAGGTGTTTCGTCTTCCTGAAAGAAAATATGTTTTTTTTTTATAAGAAATATCTGAATTAGAGAAAACATAACGTTATAATTTCATTGCCTTTAACATAGTTAAATATTTTCTATTCTGTTTCCTATTATAATTCAGTTAAAACATTAAAAAATCTTTGCCACTTTCAGATCAATAAAAATACACTACGAACAATAATATATAGTACATTATTGTTTATTGTGTGTTAATTAATGTACATGTATTTAACGAAAAAATTACTTAATAATAATATTTATCTCTATATGCGTAGTATATACTAAATTAAATTATTACCTAACAGTTTTCCCCGCTACTAATCTAAAAACTAATTTCATTAAATTTATTTTTACAAGCTGAAATTATCAGAAAACATTTTAAAAGTTAAAAACTGCTATCAGCTATTACATTTACATATCTCAATATTTCATAAATATTGAGATATGTAATAACTAATCAAGTACAAGTTTATTATTTGTAAACTAGAAATGAATCCAATACAAAATGTTAGTCTCTTAACTCTATTCCTCTGTTAGATTAGATATGGATTCCCACAGAAAAACAAAAATTATATTTTATTTCTTAAAAGCTGGCTTTAATAATGGATCAGTAGAATACATTTTTAGTTTACAACAACCGAGATTGTTTTAAAAACTTGTCTTAAAGTTCATTTAAGCAAAAATTAATGAATTACGAGTAATAATTTAAATATTAATTGCTTGTAGTGGGTTGTAAATATTAATCCATTCAATAAAGAAGTTTAGAAGATTTATAAACTGCTTGTGAATGATCTCACAGTTTAAAAAAAATCTAGCAACGAGTTCTATAACTTTCCGGGCTATTATGAGATTTTACCTTAAAAAAATGACTGTTATACTGTATTATTATTAAATATAATAAATTGTGTGTGGCGCCATCTGTTATGAGATTTTTTTATAAAAAACTTTTTGTATTATTAACAAAATCACAAGCTTAATTTTGAGGGTAGGGACGAGTTTTATGAAGCATTTGTAAATGCTAATAACGAGCAAAATCTACATTAAGTCCGATCCCTCCTCAACATATGATACATAACCCCTTCTCTATCTCACCACCCCATCGACCTTTAACCATCGAAATTTAACAGCATCAATGTCCCTTATACACAAACAACTATGCCAAATTTCGTTGTTTTATCATTACCCCATCCTGAGATATTAAACTCGGAGGGTCAAATCTGAGACAATTCCTTTGTTATGTATACATAACAGCCGGGAAAGTAAAAGGACTCATTTAAATTCTAATAATCTAACCATAGGTCTATCTAATCTACAATATAGAAGATGAGATATTGGTTAAATAATATTAATGTACTTAAAAGTCAGAACAAATAATTAAAATAAACTTATTGAATTACATTATCAGCATAAACAAATCATGTTTATTTTGTATAAATATTTATCTTTTCATATCCCTTTTTGATGTTTAATTCTTGCATTTAAACAGCATGTTATATGCTTTGATCACAAATCTAATGACGATAAAATTTTCATTTTTTCTGACATTTCTGAATATTTTTAAACATAGATTTTTCTGAAAATCAGTAAATATAGAAGCAATTCGAAATATATTTTAATTAGAACATTAATTTTTAAACATTATATAAAATTTCACTTTTTACAAGATAAAGAAAAAAAATATAATTTTAGAAGTTGAGTCTATAATTGAGATGAACAATTTTTATATATACAGTACTACAAAATGATTATATTCAACAAAAGTTTGATATCTCAGATCAACTTCTACAAATGTTATAGAAAAAACTTGCTTAATGTTCAGTATATTTTCAACTTTTAACACAGGATAAAACCAAATTACAGCTATTCACTTAATTGCTTTCTACAATTATCAAACTGCATTAACATTACAGTACCTATAAAGAGAAAAAAGTATCTAACAAAAAAAAAGAAAAAAGAAAAACTAACTCAAACTACATATACATTATATATCCATTTTTTAATATAAGATATACAGTATACCTAACGACTGTATGATTCATTTTTTGTCTATCAAGAATAAGCTTGACTCAACGAAATCAAATAATTCGAAGAATAATTTTGACCCAGACTCTATAATCTATAAGAACTTACTGTTCATATTGTTCTAAAACAAGCAATGTACATAAGAAAAATCTCAAAAAAATTTAAATAATAATACTGTAATAATAAAATAATGCAATTGTCTTAAGTAAAATAATTACTTATCACAAATTTATATAAAATTTCAACATGTTTATTTATACTTAAGATATGATTAAATGATAAAATTTATCGATTTATTGGTTTACATTATTAATAAACAAATATAAAAAATTGTTTAAAAGCTATAAATATTAAATAGGAGAATAAAAGTAGGGCAAGCTCAAAAAATAAACTAACTTTTAAGGAAAACAGAAGAAAATAAAACATTTTTTGATAAAACATTTATAAACATCATAAACTACTTGCTGATTTAGTAACAGTGTATAAACTGGATTCTTTAACTTTTCCTGTTGTTATGTCAAAAGTCAGTTGGTATATCAGATATATATATATAAAAAAAAAACTCGGTCACCTTGACACTTTTACAACAGATTTACTATCAATTGCAGCAAAGATATTAAGAAAAATGCACATTCTTGTTTCTATCCTATAAAATATATTCGCTAAGGGGTTTTCAGTTTTATCAAATGATTATTGTATAATGATAAAAATGACAATAATTAGAATAAATAACAATTTATATGTTGAGTTCTAAATTATTTTTTAAGTTATTGAATGAAGCATTACTTTTATTATGTAATAAAAGTATTTCAATTAAAGCACTAAACATATAAAAGGTTAGAACCATTTAATATTATAAGGAACAATTTAGCTGTCTTTTTATTTAACAAGCAATTCATTTATTTTATAATAATCATAAGTTTTTGGTACTTTTGTATAAGTTAAAAGAATAAACAGGTTTAAAAATCAGAGTTTTTATCCTAATTTAATTTATTAAATAAAATTTATTGTTGTAAAATCTCTCATAAATTCCTTTGAGTAAACAATAGACTTTTCATATGGCTGGAATGCAGTTGTCCTAGCATTAATTCATCTCAAATACTTTATCAAAGTATTTCAGGTTATAATTACATATCTTAGAAATATATATATATTATTGTCATTACTATATTAAAACTTCCAATATTTTTATCATTAAATGTATTTGATAAATGTGTATATACTGAATAACTTAATATAAAGATTGACAAATATTCTAAAACTAGCAATAATGCTGTTTTTCCTACAGCATTTATTCAAAATTTACATCAATTAAAATTTGTAATAAAAAAAAAATCTTTTTAGTCCTTTACAAGACTTTTAAATTAGGATATCCTTGAAATTTAACACATTAAATTCCAAATAAATGCAATAAAATTATTTTTAACTTTAAAATATATTTTTACTAAAACTTGTGATTAGAAGTAGTCCTATTAAAGTTTTATATTATTTATTGAAAATTTATATAAATTAAAATAATTTATGAAAATATTCACAAAATAAAAAGAAAATTTATAAGGGTGTCAAAATTTTACAGTATAGGAGAGTAATATAACTCATTACCCCTTACCAATAATCATAGAGAATAATCATATTCTCTGAGAGTATATCTAATATAAAAGTAAAAACTATTGCTAAAAATTCAAAATTTATTAATTATTTAATAATCTAATCAATGCAAAGTACACTTTAAATAGTGTTCATTGAAAAATTGTGATATACTGTGTATTGTGATATACTGTGATGCATATATCCTGATATAAAATATCAGGATAGATGCATCACAGTATATCACAAAAAGAGGAAACATTCAAATAATTAACTGTACTGTTTTTCAATTATTTACAATTCTATGAAATCACAAATTAAATTCTTAGAAGAGTATAGGAGCAATAAATTATTATTTTAATATTATAAAACTTTTTAAAATGATTTTCCTAAAATTTCAAGAAAACTTTTTCCATATAAAAGTCAGTATTTACATTAATAAAATAAAAAATGGAAAGCCATTACTATTCTTCTAATTTTAAAATTTGAATTTTAACTTGAAAATTGTAAATTACACAAATAAAGTTCAAACCTTTAAGACACATATCATATTTTTCCTCAATACTTCATAAATAATATCTTTTAGTAAATGTCCTAACCTAGCAAAAATATTTAGAATTATTTCTTTAACTGAATAAATTAAAATGAATCTATAAATTTTCACACAAGCTAACATTTTCAAACAATTTCATATAAACAGATTATCATCCTAGACCAGGGGTCGGCAACCTTTTGAGTCGGAAGAGCCAAAATTACAATTTACAAAATTTCAAAGTTTTTAAAGAGCCACAAAATTTTTTCTTGCCAACTATAAATAGTACTCGCATAAATAAAGTTTTTTGATTAAAAAAAACTAATCTATTTATTCATAAGAAGAAATATCTATTTATTCATATATAAGTAGTGTTTTTCATCAGTGCCGGCATGAGGCAAGTTTTAGGATGGAGCGAGATCCTATTATGGCGCCCTGGGGTGGAACCCCGCGCATGCACTCGACCCACGCGCGTCTCAACAGATAAGGCCATTCACATACTGGCCACACGCTTGCAATTAAAATACTGAAAAATGATAAAAATATTTTTTTCTTTAATTTTCTTTACCACTGAGGCGCCCCCTAGGACTTAGCGCCTGGAGCGGCTGCTCCGTTTGCCCTATGATAGGGCCGGCTCTGTTTTTCATAACAACTTAGATAATAGAAACATCCAACAACGGCGTCATTCGAGAACTTCCGACGGACTGACGACAGTGACTACGTGTGTCACGGGGAGGGGTGCGGTGAAAAGCGAGTAGAAGTGGCTGAGAGATAGAATCAGTGCCTAATCCTCCTTAATCGATTCAGAACGATTTTTAAATGTTTTTTTTTTTATAAAATAAATAATATTTGTGTAAGGAACTAAAGAGCCGCAGCTTCACATCCAAAGAGCCGCATGTGGCTCGCGAGCCGCAGGTTGCCGACCTAGACCATTAAATTAAATATATACTTATTGCAAGCATGCTTGAGATTTAAAAAATTTACAAATATATGAATTGGATAATTAATGGACTAAATATAATTATAAGAAGATTGTATATATGCATATTAGGCTATAAAAATCATTTTATTGTT